CACATTGAAACTGATGATGGTGGAAAACACCGAAACGTTTTTTAATTGATAAATAGACAATAAATGACTGAAGCCCAGGAATTGATTTTGATTTGACACTGTATAAAATAGTTTACAAAAATTATTTTTAATCTAAAATGCAGTGGTGTATTAAAAGATTAATGCAAGCTAATAATAATATTTAGAGTAATTCAAGCTTGATATTTTTTATAGCAACATTTTTTTTAATGAAATTGAATTTTTGTTAAAAATAATGTGTACATTTTCTTTTTAAATTAAATTATTTATCAATTATATTCAAGGTACTGATAATTGCAAATTTTTTAAAAAAATTGTTGGATATCACTATTGGAGATGGTTGCTGTTCTCCCACCCTGTTTTCTATGCCAAACTATGCACCCAAGAAAAATAATCTTTCTTTGACAATATGTAATTCGACAAGCTAGTAATATCTCGATTATGGAAATTATTCAACCACTAATGCAAGCAATTCGACTTATGTAACCTGAACTATACCTACAATAAATAATAAGTTCCATAAAAATGCGAATAAAAAGTCTGTCCCAGATGCATTTATACAAGAAATCGTATGGGAATTTAATGAGCATGACCAATTAGAAAAACAAATCAAATGTCAAGTTCTAATTACTGAAATCGCATATTGTTTACCGCGATTTCTGTTCGTATGCAATGAAAACAAATCTGATATTTATATTGCGTGGATGTGGCAATGACACACTGAGTTAATGAAGTTGTTTTTCACTTGACTGTGGTTTTATCGGACTTAAACATTAATGTGTCTTTCCTTTTGATAATTATCACCGATGAAAGTTTGCCTACGTATACGAACGTAGCTGAAATCATTCAAATACTCAATGAGAAAATTGATGGGTTTTAACTATACACGTTCATAATAAACCACCATTATTTTTCATGCATGCAAAAAAGAGCTTTAGGTAAGCTTTTAAGCTAGCAGGCTCGCAAAGTTATGACAAAAAGAGAAATATAAAAAAACTGATGAAACTCATTATTATTTCCATGTTGCCTTGGAAGAAAAGAAATTAATTTCAATTGATGCCATTTGGGTAAGTGCAACTGCAAAATGCATTAAGTCAGGTCAATTTATGCGTCAGCCTTGACCCGTTTCGGTTCGCAAATATATTGTGTGGATTAGGCCTTCCTGTCTAAATAATGTTAAGGCCAGCCCGATAATAAATATTAAGGCTCATTTTTGTCTGCCACACTTACATATTGAATCAATCGTGTACTGCAACATACACCAAGAAAATAATCAATATTTGCCATTACTAAATAAAATTTAGATTGTAATTGTTGTAGATTGTAATTGTAATGTAGTTCTGTGAGTCACAAGCGATCAAGTCGGTTTGATGCGCCAATTCTGTATGTGATAATGAAACAAATCATAATTAA